ATGTAATAGGGGAGATTCCTTTTGTGTCCAAGATGGACTAGACTGATATCGAGGTTCCCTCTCTGCTCTCAAATTACATGGTTCCTTAATCTATTCCAATTCCCTCAACTTACAGATATTTGAAGTGAGATGCAGAGAAGTAGCTTGATCATTGCCACCCCAGGAGCAAGCAGCTGAGTCAATATCTGAGTTAAAGTGTTCTAACCCCTAAACCAAAGTTCTTTACCCTGTATCCCACAGCCTCTGCTTGGTGGTAGCTACTAGCACTCAGGAGCTTGGAAGACATAGTGAACTTCTCTAGGGCTGGTTGTTCATTTTACAGTGTGTCAAAAGTAAAGGCAAATGACATAACCACAGGAGAACAGTTAATGATTACACAGCCTTCTAGGTTAAAACACGTCTTGATGTTAGAAATGTCTTCTTGCTGCTTATCTAACCTGTCGCCTTTTTATACATTCATGTGATTTCCTCTGTTCCACCCACCCTTTCATAAAAACAGCTAGCTAGAGCTAGAAGGGACTTCTGTCTTTGAAGAGAGACAAAAACTTCTGTCTTTGAATTTGTGATAGAGAAAGAAGGAAAAGTCAAAAACGCTCTGATGTACACCCTTGCTTATATAAGAACAAATTTTAAAATATTAAGGGGGAAGAATAGGATGTCGTGAACTAAAATTCTATAGGAAAAGTAGGCCTAGGAAGGATGGCAATGATTCAAAATGAAAATTTTGAAAATGCCAAGAATAAGTGTTTGGATGAGGAAGAAAAAAAGAAGATTGTATAAAGAGAGTAATAAGAGTAAACAGAAAACTCACTCACGATTTAATCCTTTTTTTTTATTCAAATATATGGAGGCTCTAGAAACAAGAGAAGAAATGACAGAAAAAATTACAAAGCATAGCGTGATTCTGAAAAAATGAATAATTCTCAGGACTTGCTAAATCTCAGAATAACCTAAAGTTGTTATGGATTGGTAAAGATAAAAATAATTTTTTTTCATTTATTTTTAAAGGTACAATAGAGGGGATAAAAAGGGAATGGGAGTTTTGCTTTGGGTGGATGGAACTATGGTATTTGACGATGAAGAGAAGATAAGAGTTTCTCAATTACTTTTCTCTTTCCATTTTCTCTGTCAAAGAGAAAGCTATTTGAAATGGAAAGAATTAAATAAATATGACTAATGTGGATCCAATTCCCAAGAAGAGTAAGGAGAAATTGAGAAAGCATGTAGTATCCTAGATGAGTTCAAGTTTTCTCACAAAGATGAACCAGATTCTTGGGTACTAGAAGAATTTCTGGATATGATTGCTGAACCATTCAGTGATATTTTCAAGGGGATGGAGAATGAGAGAGCTATCATAAAATTGACAGACATTTTTCATAAAGTTGGCAGATGATGGGGCAGCTAGATTTCGCAGTGGTTAGAGCCCCTGGCCTGGAGTTGGGGGGACCTGGAATCCAGTGTGGTCTCAGACACATAACACTCACTAATCACCTCACACACACACAAAAAAAATTGGCAGATGATTTGCAAAAAGAAGGAAAGAAAAGAGACTGCATACTACAAATATGAATGGCACTGGAAGATGAGAAGTAGTGCTTGTGGATTCATTAAATATAGGTCATTCCAGACCATCTTCATTTCTTTTCTTTATTGAGTTACTAAACTAGTAGATGAAAGCAGTGTGATAGACAGAATTTAAGTTAAGTTGTAGCAAAGCATTTGATAAAGTCTCTGAAGCTATTGTTATGGAAAAGATAAAGAAATGTGGGCTAAATGTTATGTAAAATTAGTTGCCTCAGGAACTGGTTAAATTGCTAGACCCAGGGGGCAGCTAGGTGGGACAGTGAGTAGAGCACTGGCCCTGGAGTCAGGAGGACCTGAGTTCAAATCTAGCCTCAGACCAAACACTTGACACTTACTAGCTGTGTGATCCTGGGATTAATCACAAGTGCTTATAAAAAAAAAAACTGCTAGACCCAAAGCTTAGTAACTGATGGTTTCAAGGCAATTTGGAAAGAATTCTCCATAAGAGTAAGCCAGAGTTCTATACTTGACACTATACTGTATGGCATGTTTAGAAATCTATGGATGACATAAATCTAGGGAAAAAAACTGACATTATGACTAGTCAGAATCACAAAAGTTCTTAATAGAATAAATCACTGGGACAAATCCAATAAGGTGAAAGTTAAAGTCTTATAATTGGACTCCAAATGTCAGCTTCCCTATGACAAGATCTGAGGGTATTTGTGGTACAAGCTCAACATGAGTCGATAGTATGATAGGGCTGCTTTAAGAGAGGCATGGTTTCTAAGACTGATTATTGCACTGTAATCTGCCCTGATAACATCTAGATGACTGTTCCATTTTGGACTCCGTAATTGAGAAAGTGCGTTATCTAACTAGAAAGCTTTGATAGGAGTGCAGCCAGAATGGTGAAGGGTCCTGTGTTTCTGGTCTATGAAGAATTATTTAAGGAACTAGGGCCGGGTTTTTAACCTTTTTGGAGTTACAGGCTCCTTTGACAGTCTGTTGAAGCCTATAGAAGCTTTCTCAGAATAATATTTTTAAATAAATAAGCTAATATACATTGTAACAAAATAAAGCAGTCAGTGAAGCAGAGTTAACAAAATGTAAAACAACAAATTCATGGGCCTGGATTAAGAACGTCTTCAACTAGAAATACTTAGCTAGGAGAAGAAAATATTGTGTAATAAGTGTGAATACCTGTCCTGTGGAGAGATTAGAAGTTTCAGGATCATAGATGATGAACTGTTTTTAGCTGAAGAAGGGAATGTAGAGGAGTGAGGTTAAGGGAAATTACCCAAGGGCACACAGGTCCTAGGACACAGAGGAGGAGTTCAAATCCAGGTATTCTGACTTCAAAAAACTAGGAACCGTGGCTGGAAGTTGCAATGAGGCAAATGATGTATAGCAGTCCCGTAAGAAAAAGGTTCCTAAGAATTAATGCTTTCCAAAAGTGAACTGGTCTGGCCGAGGAAGTAGTGTGGAGCACCAGCACTGCCTCATTTATGGTATTGAAGCAAAGCATGTATGGTGAGTTGTTGGTCCGTTCCAAATTTGAATTCCTACAATTAATTCTGTTGGTCTGTGAACTTAGACATTGAGGAAGAGGTGAAAAATGTGTTCTTTTATGGTATGCTTTATGCAATATGGGGAGCATATAAAACCAAACTATATTTCAAACACACAATATACCACAAAGTGTCACATCATAGAAGGAGAACTGGCCAATGATTCCTGCCTCTTCACTGTTAAAAGTAATTGGGGATCATGGGGTTTGGCCACTAGGAGAGAAACATTTCAGGAAGACAGAAACATTTTATAGAAAACAGAGTGCTCTGAAATTGTGGGGATTGGCGTTTTTTTTTCTACTTCCTTCTTGGTATTAACCCCAAGGTTGAAACTTTTAACACTCAACTGATCCACAACTGTTTTTTTTTTTTGTTCTGTTGTGGCTTTTGCAATATGCCAGCATAAACATCAGTTGCTTTTTAATACACATATAGCAGTGGATGTGTTTGCCATAAAAGCAGTATTATAGACTGCAGTATTAAGAACTGGAGATATGCTTGGTTTTCTTGGTGAAAATAGTGTAATTGTCTGCCATTTCCTTCTCCATCTCAATTTTACAAATGAAGAAAGTGAGGCAAAATGGGTTAAGTGGTTAGCCCAGGGTTACACAGTTAAAAAGTGTTTCAGGCCAGGTTGGAACTCAAGAAGAAGAGTCTTCCTGACTCCATACCAGGCAGTCTATCCCCTTCACCATCTAGCTGCCCCAGAGGTGGGGTAGTGATGTGGTTAAACCTGAGATTTAGGAAGATCACTCTGACAACTGAATGAGGGATACATTGGAGTAGGGAGAGATTCATTCTTAAAAGAGGACCAAAGGCTTCACCAGTTATCCTAGGTCTATGACACTGAAAACTGTAAGGAAAGAAAGCTGTCATTTCCCAGAGACTTAGCTCTGTGTGGCTTTTCTCTCCAAAATGGCAGTCTTTCCCTTCACCAGCCTAGTATTTTCAGCACCCAGCCACCTAAGCAAAACCCACAATCCCTTAATCCATTTCTTAAACCACTGCCTCTCGTTCCCTAAGACCAAATTCTCTGTCCTAAAAATTCTGAAAATTAGATTGTCATTATAACTCCTGTTTAATTCAATTATACAGAGAATTTCCTGCTCCAAATTAGTGTCAAGAATTTCTGCTAAAGAATCCCATGGGATTTGCATGGGGCTGAGGTAGAATTATTTTTGATCAGATATCTACTCCACTAAGGTCCTTTTGGTCTCCCCAACAAATAAATGGGAGGAGGGGAAGTAAAGCAGCACCAATAAGGCATCTCCCTTCACTTTAATTTTTTATTCCCATTTCCTAGGATGACCACATATATTGAATACATGGAATATATTTGTATACATGCATACATAGAAACCTAGATACACAGAATTTACATATAGCTTTTGTATGCATCCTATATAGCATACATGTCATATATTTATTAAATATTTATTTTGAATAATAAGTCTCTGAACCTTACAATTGTAAAACTCTTAATGCGTTTATCATATTTTGCCTCATATGTAGTGATACAGAGACTTGTTTTTGTCTGTGCTACTATATATTAAGTAATTAGAGTGTAGAAACTGTCTTTTATATGGCTTTGTATCCCTTTTATAACTTGAGTATCTCATAAATATTTCTTGAATGACTTGGTGGGTATAGATGTAGTGTACTGTTTTTCTTGTTTTGTACTTTCTGTTTTAATTCTAAGATTTAGGAAAAGTAAGGCCAGTACTTTTGATATTCTAAATTTGTGCCTTCACCTAACATATGTTGGATTGTGGAAAGAGTTCACTGGAAGAAGTGTTTACATAGAGGGACATGGGAGGTTGCCGTGAGTTAAAAATGCAATTGGAGAGAACTTCCTTTAGAAATTAATCTTCAACTTGTCCCTTGGCTTGCCTGTGTGTCTTTATGCAGCAGGCACAAAGAGCAGTAGTGTATCAGAAGGCATCAGGCTCAGGCACTATGACTGAAAAGTGGGTGTCTATTCTGCTGCTGCTGCAGCTCTACTGCTTTGGATGTGGGTCCTGTGGGAAGGTCCTGGTGTGGCCACTGGAACATAGCCACTGGCTTAATATGATGGCAATTCTTGAAGAGCTGGCACAAAGGGGTCACTTGGTGACTGTGTTAGTGTCTTCTGATATGTTTCTCACTGGTTCCACTGACTCTTCAGGGCTGAACTATGACGTTTTTCCTGTACCACAAATAAAAGAAGACTTGGAGGAACAATTCGAAATTTATTTGAGCATGATGATTAACAAAAAACCCACATTTTCAGACTGGGAAAAACTGTGGGAATTTCAGGAATTTTTCAGCTCTGCTTTTCCTATTGTAAAATCAAGGTGTGAAAATGTAATCTTCAACCAGATGCTCATGGAGAAGCTGCAACAAACTGGCTATGATGTGCTGTTAGCAGATGCTGCATTTCCATGTGGAGATCTGATAGCGGAGGTGCTTGAAATCCCTTTCATAAATAGTCTCCGGTGGAGCATGGGGAATGCCTATGAGAAATACTGTGGGGGACTTCCTTCTCCTCTTTCTATGTGCCCATGCCCATGGGCAGACTGACTGACAAGATGACCTTCATGGAAGGGTGGAGAATATACAACTATCTCTCTTCTTTGACTACTTCTGGTTCCATCCATTTGAGAAAAAGTGGGAGCAGTTTTACAGTGAGGTGTTAGGTAAGATGGGTTTTTTCAGGAGTGTTGTGGACTGTTATTTTATTTTCAGTTTTGTCTGCCAAGGTGATTGTCATGGACTTCACTACACTAGCTTAAGATTTTCTCCTTTGTAGATCATAAAGAGACTGGGAAAGCTTCAGGTAAAGTGTTAGTGTAAAAAACAAGTACATATCTGCCTAGAGTATAAAGCATAAAGAAGACTGCCTTAAATGTAGTACCTCCATCTAGAGTGACTAGGATATTATATTAGTAACAAACAATCTTCATGTAGGAATAAGTAATAATTTTCATTAGAAAAAACAAAGATCTATATCCATATTCTTATCATTATGTGTTGCTTGTATTTTACAACTTCTTCAGGACCCTTAAATGTCTTCTCTTCTGCTCCTGTTATGCTATGTCTCCAATTTGTGCCTACCAGCAACTCTTAAGGCTTGGGTGACTGGATCTCCCAATTAGTTTGTCAGTGCTACTAATCCCTTCTTGCAACCTAGAATTTTTTTCTACTGGGCTTTGCCTATATCAGATGAGAGAATATTTATTTACTCCTTCTGATTTCAGCAACCTAGCTCTACAAAATCAGCATGGAAACCTTCTTTAGCTTTTTTTTTAAATGGGGATTTTTTTTAGAGTCTACTAGGCTTTTTTGTTTAAAGGTTTGAGTTACAATTTCTATCCCATCCTTCCTCGCTCCCCTACCCCCTTCCTGAGACAGAAAGTAATCAGATATAGGTTGTATGTGTGCAATTATGTAAAACATTTCAATATTAGTCATTTTGCATAAGAAGACTTGAAGGAAAGAAAAAAGTGAAAGAAAAAAAGTAAAAAATAGCATGCTTCAGTCCATATTCAATCAATATCATTCTTTCTCTGGTGGTGGATAGTGTGCTTGCTTCATTATTAGCTCTTTGGGATTTCTTGGAGCATTGTATTGCTAAGAATAGCTAGGTAATTCACAATTCTACATCAAATAATATTGCTGTTTCACTGTGTAAGATTCTCTTAGGTGTGTTCATTTGATTGGGCATTATTTCATGTAAGTCTTTCCAGGTTTTTATGAAATCATCCTGCTTTTAATTTTTTTCCGAATTAATAGATTTAATGTTTTCCAATTACATTTAGAGATCGTTTTCACCATTCACTTTTGTAAGATTTTGAGTTCCCAATTTTTTTCTGTCTCCCCCTCCTCTTCCCCAAGATAGTACGTAATCTGATACAGGCTATGCACGTACAACCATATTAAATATATTTCCACATTAGTCATGTTGTGAAAGAAGGATCAGAACAAAAGGGGAAACCATGAGAATGGGAAAAAAAAGAAAACAATATGCTTCTACCTACATTCAGACTCCGTAGTTCTTTCTCTGGAAATGGATAGCATTTTCCATCATTAGTCTTTTGGAATTGTCTTAGGTCATTGTATTACTGAGAAAAGCTAAGTCTACCAAAGTTGGTCATTGCACAATGTTGTTGTTAGTATATAATGTTCTCCTGGTTCTGCTCTCTTCACTCAGCACCAATTCATGTAAGTCTTTCCAGGTTCTTCTGAAATCGGCCTGCTCATCATTTCTTATAGAACAGTAGTATTCCATTACATTCGGGTATTACAACTTGTTCAGCCATTCCCCAATTGATGATCATCCCTTTGATTTCCAATTTTTAGCCACCAAAAACAAAAGCTGCTATAAATAGTTTTGTAGAAATATGTTCTTCCCCACCCCAATCTTTTTTTGAATGTGTTTGGGATATATACTTAGCAGTGGTACTGCTAGATCAAAGAATAGGCATAGTTTTATAGCCCTTTGAGCATATTTCCAAGTTGCTTTCCAGAATGATAGGATCAATTCACAACTTGGCCAGCAGTACATTAGTGTCCTAGTTTTCCCACATCCCCTTCCACATCTAACATTTTCCTTATTGTCATATTAGCCACTTTGACAGGTTTGAGACGGTATCTCAGAGTTGTTTTCATCTGCATTTCTCTGATCAGCTGTGATTTAGAACATTTTTTCATGACTATGGGATATCTTTGATTGTCTGAACACTGTCTGTTCATATCCTTTTTCCATTTCTCAATTGGTGAATGACTTGCATTTTTATAAATTTGACTCAATTCTCTATATATTTGTGAAATGAGACCTTTATCAGGGATACTGCTGAAAAAAAATTCCTCCAATTTTCTGCTTTCCATATAATTCTAATTGCATTGGTTTTATTTGTGCAAAAACTTTTTCCTTTTATTTAATGAAAATTATCTATTTTACATTTTGTTATGTTCTCTATATCTTCTTTGTTCTTAAATTCTTTCCTTATCCATAAATCTTTTAGATAAACAATTCCACGGTCTCTTAATTTGTTCATGATTTTACCCTTCCTGTGTAAATCACATATCCATTTTTACCTCATGTTGGTGTAGGGTGTGAGATATTGGTCTATACTTAGTGTTTGCAATACTGTTTTCTACTTTTCCTAGCAGTTTTTGTGAAATACTGAGCTTTTGTTCAAAACCTTGGATCTTTGGCTTTGTTATGTACTAGATTACTATGGTCATTTGCTATAATGTAATTTGTACCTAATCTATTCCAATGATCTACCATTCTATTTCTTAGCCAGTACCTGATTGTTTTTAGTAATTACTGTTTTATAATACCATTTGAGATCTGGTAAGGATAGAACACGTTCTTTTGCATTATTTTCATTGATTCCCTTGCTATTTTTGAGCTTTTGTTCTTCCAGATGAATTTTGTTTTTATTTTTCTTGCCCTATAAAATACTTTTTTGATACTTTGAATGGTATGGCATTGACTATATACAGATTCATTTTAGTAGAATTGTAATTTTTATTGTATTGGTTTGGCCTACCAATGAGCAATTAATATTTTTCTAGTTGTTTAGATCTAATTTTAGTTGTATGATAAGAATTTTATGGTTGTGTTTATATAGTTCCTGTGTTTATCTAGGCAGGTAGGCTTCCAATTATTTTGTGTTGTCTACAGTCTTTTTAAATGGAATTTCTATCTCTTGCTGCTGGATGTTGTTGATAATATATAGAAACATTGACGGTTAATGTGGGTTTCTGTTGTATCCTGCAACATTGCTTAAGTTGTTAATAATTTCAAGTAGATTTTTAGTTGAGTCTCTAGGATTTTCTAAGTATAACATCTTGTCATCTGCACAGAGTGGTAGTTTTGTTCCCTTATTGCCTATTATAATTCCTTTAATTTCATTTTCTTCTCTTCTTGCTGTAACTAAAATTTCTAGTACAATATTAAATAATAGAAGTGATAATGGGCACCCTTGATTCACCTTGGATCTTATTGGGAAGGCTTCAACTTATCCCCATTCCAGATAATGCCTCTTGATGGTTTTAGATAAATATCACTTATCATTTTAAGGCAATCTCCATTTACTCCTATGGTCTCTAGTGTTTTTAATAGGAATGTGTGCTTTATTTTGTAAAAGGCTTTTCTGCATCTGTTGAGATAATCATATGGTTTCTGTTTGTTTTCTTGTTGATATGGTCAATTGTGCTTATACTTTTCCTCATATTTAGCCAGTCGTACATTTGTGTTATAAATACCACCTGGTCATAGTGCATACATTCCTGCTATCTCTTTGCTAGTATCTTATTTAAATTATTTTGCATCAATATTTATTAGGGAAATTGGTCTATATTTTTTTTTCTCTGTTTTGACTCTGTTTAGGTATCAGCACCATATTTGTGTCATAAAAGGCAGTTGGTATGACTCTTTCCCCTTTTTTTTCGAAAATACTTTATATAAAATAAGGATTAATTGTTCTTTAAATGTTTAGTATAATTTGCTTGTGAATCCATGTGGTTCTGGGGAATTTTTCTTAGGAAGTTCATTGATGGCTTCTTCATTTTCTTTCTCTCATATTGGGTTATTTAAGCTTTTTATTTCTTTTGTTAATAGGGGTAATTTATAGTTTTGTGTGGGTAATTTATGTTTTTGTAGATATTCATCCATTTCACTTACATTGTCAAATTTATTGGTGTATAATTGGGCAAAATTGCTCCTAACAATTGCCTTAATTTCCCCTTTATTACTGGTGAATTCATCCCTTTCACTTTTGATACTAGTAATTTGGTTTTCCTCTTTCCCTTTTTTACATAAAAATCAACCTGTATTTTACATATTTGTTGGCTTTTTCATAAAACCAGTTTCTAATTTTATTTATTAGTTCAGTGGTTGTCTTAGTTTCATTTCTATTAATGTCTCCTTTGATTTTCAAGATTTCCAATTTAGTGTTTAATTGGGTATTTTTAATTTGTTCTTTTTCTAGTTTTTTTGTTAGTTTGTTGCATGTCCAATTCACTGATCTTCTGTTTCTATAATTTATTGATATGTGCAATTAGAGACATAAATTTTCCCTAACTAGCACGTTGGCTGCATCCCCAAAATTTTGGTATGTTCTCTCATTGCTGTAATTTTAATGAAATTACCAGTTGGTTCTATGATTTTTTGACCCACTTTTTTTAGGATTAGATGATTTCATTTCCAATTAATTTTTGATGTCTCTTTCCTTTGCACATTGTTGAATGTAATTTCTATTGCACTATGATCTGAACAAGATGTGTTTACTGTTTCTGCTTTTCTGGCATTTGGCTGAAGGTTTTTATGTCCTAAGACATTGTCAACTTTAGTATAGATGCCATGAACTGTTGAGTAAGAAGTATAATCCTTTACATTCCCATTTAATTTTGTCTAAAGATATATCATATCTAACATTATCAGAGTTTTGTTCATCTAGCATAGTTTTATTATCAATTTCTTCCTGTTACTCTTTGAACTTCTTCACAAATTTAGATGATACACCAATTGATGCACGTATGCTTAATATTGATATGATTTTGTTGTCTATGGTACTGTTCAACAGGATTTGATTTCCTTCTCCATCTCTTTTAATTGGATCTGTTTTTGCTTTGGCTCAAATCGTGATTTGTACTCCTGCTTTCTTCCCTTCAGCTGATGCATAATAAATTCTCCTCTAGCCCCTTACTTTTACCTTGTGTGTACCTCAGCCCCAAATGTCTTTCTTAGAAACAATATATTGCAGGATTCTGGTTTTAGAGCAAGGGGACCTCCAAGAATTGTCAGAGAGTACCACTATGGGAAAGGAGAAAGACAAATAGTTTTTTTACACGTTGTGTAGATTAAGATATTCGCCAACGCTGATACACTAGTTAAGCTAGATCATGTTAACTGACAACCCACACTAAAGTCACGACTTTAATTTCTAACTTCTTTAACCAGTTATACAAGGCCTTCAATTTCTAATACTATCAAAATTCTATCTAACACCCCTAAAGAGTGGTTAATGAAATCATTTAACCAAAGCCTCAGGGCATTGCTGCTTCTGCATGTTACCCAATAACTGCAATCCTAGGATGTGTTTTTACATTCCTTATTGTTTTTCCATATCCAGAAATACCATGTGACCTCCTTCAGGATGCAACCCAAAAAGGGTGTTAGGTGTATTGACTAAAGGATGGGTGAGACTTACTGGAAAAAGAAAAATAAGCCAGCCTATTTGCAACAATTTGAGAAACAACCATAGTATAACTAATCTCTTAAATGGGCCTAAGTGTAGTTAGAAACCATATAGACGGATCAGAATATACAAAGCAAAATGGCAGAAATTTCTGGTAGAAAATGAAGTACTGGGAGTCAAGATGGTAGAGTGAGAGTTACCATTTTTACCCAACTCATGTGACACACTTTCTTCACAACAACTGAAAAATGCAATCCAACAATTTCTTGTTGGGAAAGCTGAGAACAAGTCATAGTAAGTCATATTTCCAGTCCAGGGCAGCTCAGGAAGATGGACAGTGAGGTCTATAGATACTGGGGTTGTCCAGGAGCACAATGTTGAAGTGGCTGAGGCAGTATCCACAGCAACAGCAACAGTGGGGAGCCTTCTAGCATCCAGGGATGGTAAGGTGACTAGGACTGAACCAAGGCTAGAAGCAAAAAGAAATCCCAGAATACACCTGAACCAACACTGTGAACCAGAACAGGTTCCAGCAGGTAGCTCTGTTGGTCCTCCATTACCTAGTTTCAGGTCACCATTCCAGGGCAGGGAGGAGAGGTGAAAGTCAGAAAGAGAAGAGACCTTAGCTATGTACAGAGAAAAAAACAAGTTTGAAAAATTTTGCTGTGTGTATCTGAGCCCAAGAACAAAAGAGGATCATAGGTCTAACCTTTAGCCCATCACATAAGCTTACAGTTGGAATACCCAGGGTAGGAAAACAACATGAAAGGAAAGTCAAGCAGTTCAGTAACTCTGAATCTACAGAACCCACCAGAAGACTAGTAGTAACTGAGTCCAGCATCAGTCTACTGAAAAGCAACCACACACAATTCCAAAAGATACAAATAGATATAAACTCAATGACAATTCTCAGAAGAGTTAAAGAAAGAGGCTAAAGAAAAAAGAGCAAAATTATTTTTAATCATATAAAAGCACAGAGCAAAAATAGGAAAAATAATGAGTGCTATAAAAAAAGTTATGAAAAAGAGAATTAACAGCTTGGTAAAGGAGGTTAAAACTATTGCTGAAGAAAATAATTCCTTAAAAATTAGAATTGGCCAAATGGAAGTAAATGACTCCATGAGACATTAAGAAATAATAAAATGAAATCAAAAGCATGAAAAGGTAAAAGAAAATGTTAAATACGTCTTAAGAAAAAGAATTGTCGAGCAAAATAGATCTAGGGGAGAGAATTTAAGAATCATCGTATTACCTACAATATCCATGAACAAACATCATATTTCAAAAAATGTAAAAGAAAACAGTCCAGATATCTTAGAACCAGAGAGCAAAGTAGAAATCAAAAGAATTCACTGGTCATCTCCTAAAAGAAATCCCAAAATGAAAACTGCTAGGAATATTATAGCCAAAATCCAGAACATCTAAGTCAAGGAAAAAATACTGCAATTAGCCAGAAAGAAATAATTCAAACATAAAGAAGTCATAATCAGGATCACAGAGGCTTCAGCAGCCATCACTGTAAAAGACAGGAGAGGCATTTCTGATATTCCAGAAGGAAAGATTCAGGATTACATCGAAGATAACCCATCCAGCAAAAATGCATATTATCCTGTGGGAGGAGGGGGAGTAAAGAATGGACATTTATTGAATTATGACAATGTCAAGTGTTCGTAACAAAAAGATGAGAAAATCAAGTACTGTTAAAATAAGACATAATTACAAATAAAACAATAAGGTGGATGGTAGAGATAATTCTAATCATTCAAACATTGAACTGATATACCAAGTCAGAGTTGGTTATCCATGAACTCAAGCCCTTGGGTTGTTGTTGTTATTCAGTTGTTTTCATTCATGCCCCACTCTGTGATGATATTTGGGGTTCTCCTGGTAAAGATATTTGAGTGTTTTTGTCATTTCTTCTCCAGCTCATTTTATAGATGAGGAAACTGAGGAAAACAGCGTTAAGTGACTTACCCAGGGTCACACAACCAGTAAGAGTTTGAGGTCAGATTCACTCTCAAGAAGATGTGTTTTCCTGACTCCAGGCCTGGAACTCTATCCAATGTGCCGCCTAGCTGCCCCAAGCCCATATGCTTCATGATAATCACTTAACAGAATATCTATTCCAGTTTAAGATCCAAAACAATGGAAGAGGAGGAAAAATCTTATAATAGCAGCTTCCCCAGTAGGATCAGGAATTGACCTCCATTAGCACCCAACAAAGTATAACTCATTGAGACTGTCTGAGGGATATACTCACAACCCTGAACTCATTTTTCTCAGCTACTCCTCAGAGGGCTGTGCTGGTAAGATGTCCCATCTTGAAATCTAAGGGCAAAGAAGCTTGAGATACAAGTGAGATAGATTGAAAGGAGACCCATTTTGCTATAAAACCTGTATGCCTTAAAGAAATAAATAGTATCACACTTAAACTCAGAAAGATTAAAAAGTGTTTTCTGGCTCATGAAGAAGTTCCCTTGTTAAAGTACTGATATTAAAAAAGACCTTGAACTTTTGTGAACGAGGGACTTTGATGATACCAGCTTAGTTTTTATCTCTAACATGAAAGCTATGGAATGTATGAACTTCTTGCCAAATTGAGCAAGACCATATTTTGGGTAGGACTAACTATGGATATTTGGATAAAGAATTTAGAAATATCAGTTAAATTTTAACCTCCTTATTGTTGATATAAAGGGGAACTCTTGATGGAAAGAACCAAGCAGTTTGTAAAGCAAGAATAACCATGGGGTCTGAGAACTGGGTTTCAATTCTTTTGCTGTTACAGCTCTGTTGCTTTAGCTGTGGATCCTGTGGGAAGGTCCTGGTATGGCCTATGGAATATAGTCACTGGCTCAATCTGAAGGTCCTGCTGGATGGAGTCATTCAGAGGGGCCATGAGGTGACTGTGCTGACACCCTCTGCTACTGTTTTTGTTGATCCTAGTAATTCATCAGGTTTCCATGTTGAAGTTTTTCCTGTGGTGACAAATCCAGAGGATTTAGCTTTATTTTTTGAAACTTTGACACAGTTTGGAGTAATGAATTGCAAAACCTTTCGGCATTAGAGTATGGTGCATTTGTGCAAAACTTATTTTATCAGTATTCAAGGCTTATAAAACAGCAGTGTGAGAGCGCTGTTTTGAACAAAGACCTTATGAAGACATTGAAACAAGCCAAGTATGAAGTTGTTATTTCAGATGCTATATGTCCTTGTGGTGAGCTCATAGCAGAAATACTTGGAATACCCTTTGTCTATAGTCTGCGCTTCAGCCTGGGCAATACCCTTGAAAAATACTGTGGAGGACTCCCATCCCCTCCTTCCTATGTGCCTGTAGCCATGTCAGTGT